TAGTTGCCTATCTTGACAACACCAAAATTTCCAAACCTATAGGTAGCAAGAAACTCCCTCCATGGTATAGTATGATAAGAAGCATCTGTGTTAATCACCCATTCAAGATCCTAATACACACAAGAAAAAATATCATCAGAAAGAGATAAAATCATATAATCACCACCCTATACTATAGCTGTGATATTATCTTTTGACTCTGTAGACTCAACTTCTTTTCCCTTTTTCTTGCTCTTCTTATGTTGCTTACATTGGTTCTTGTAATGTCCTTTCTCACCACAGTTATAGCAAACAATATCGTTTCTTGATCTTGACTTGCTTCTACCTATGCGTGAACTGTTTTTAGATTTTAACCTTTCTCTGTTTTCTGAGATAAGTACTTGTGAATCATTCTAAGATATTGCTGAATTCTTTCTTCTCAACTCTTGATTCAATAAACTACTTGTTACTTGACTCATGGTGACAACACCATATGATGCAGAATTACTAAGGGAAACCACTAGTGTCTCCCAACTTTATGGCAATGAACTAAGAAGTAACAACACTTGCAACTCATCATCAAGAGACATTTTCATAGAGGATAACTGGTTAGTGATACTCTGCATTTCATTCAAATGCTCAATAATAGAAGTACCCTATCAAGTTTACAAGTTTTCTGATCAAGAAAGCTTTGTTGCCAGCAGTTTTTCTTTCATAGAGACTTTTCAACTTTTTCCAAAGAGAATATGCAGAACTTTCAGTAGAAACATAGTGAAAGACACTATCATCAAGCCACTATCGAATGAACCCTACTATTTTTCGATCTAACATTTTCTACTTATTATCTGTCATAGTTGCTAGCTTTGTACTATCTTCCTGCAAAGGTCCATACAAATCTTTACAATACAAAAGATCTTCCATTCTTGGTTTCATATCATCCAATTGTTTCCATTTAAACTAATCATATGAGAAACACTACCGACCTCCATGTTCAAACACAAATAATTAAATCACCAAAACTCTGCTCTGATACTAGTTGATGGGATATAAAGAAGAACTAACTTTTTTATATGAACAAATATTAACAAGCCATAACACGTAGCGGAATTAAATGGAATCACAATCAAATAGAATATCAAGATTTACATGGAAAATCCCTCCAATGTGAAGGGTAAAAATCACGGGGCAAACTAGAGATAATCCACTATAAGAATAATGAATATACAAATCTCAATTTCTTGCCCAAAACCCTAGCAACAATCACAAGAGAATAACTAGGATACAAGGATTATATCACTGTGCACAATATCCAAATTCTCCCTCAAATAATCACAGCAAGAATCTATTATAGATATGATCTAACATGAGATGAGAACATTACCTAGATGATTGAGAATAGTCTCTCTATGTTGTGCTTGTCTTCTTTCCTTTCATTCTCTTATTTTTCTGTCCCTTTTCGAATCAAGTTGCTGGTGCAATTTTTCTCTTTGTTGCTGTAGTTTTTCTCCTCACCAAATCGTAGCCACCACCCACCTCTAATTTGGATTTAGGGTTTAGTAAAAAGGAGGTGGGTTGTGGGCTGCTAAAGCCCACTATAAGCTGAACCCATTATGGGTTGTCAGCCCAACAATTTTCTCTCTTCCTTGTCGCGTCTTGGAACACTAGATTGATTGATAGCCCAATTGCTCATCGAAGGTTTAATTTTTTTTTCTTTGATTGAATTTTTAGTTTACTTTTGTGGCTATACATCTATGTGATTAGGATACAAATTTTTTCTTTCTAGGTAAAAAGGAGCATGCTGTCGTTTGAAGATGCAAACTTTCTTGATGTGCTGAGGTTTTCAGCCCAATTCCTATTTGGTACGTTGCTTTCGTCCTTGTAGGAGAAGGATACTTGTCTACTTCAAGACATTGTTGTTGTCAAAGTTAATTATCATACCAAGTGAAGGGTAAATTGTTAAATGTGTAAGGCAGATTTGTATAGTCACCAAATACATGGAAGAGAAACTAAAAGCAAAACAGAAGAAGGAGAAATTAACCGAGGGCAACTAATATCAGCTCTAGATGTAGTTTTTTTGCCATGAGCGGGGTTATGGTTTTATATTATTGCTAGTACACAATTTTATTCCCTCATTTTTTTCTATAAAAAAAATATATTCTTATTGCCATACATGAAGTTTTATAATTTGGTGTGTATGGCATGATTCTTTATCTTTAGCTGATTTCCTGTTGTTCCATGTTTCACATAAGAAAAGACAAAAAAAGGAAAAGAGAGGAGGATTCTTCAGATGTTCCAAGTGAGAAGTCTACATGCTCTGATATAAACGATCCGGAAAAGGAGTCAATCATCATGTAACGCCAGTCAACCCTTTGGAACTGCAGCAGAACCCCAAATCATTTATTCAAGGGAGATTGAAATATGACAACCAAATTGATATTGATAGGTTCTCATTCTGCTGATATTTCAGATAATTTAAATGGACATAATATCAGTGCTGCTGCTGCTGCTGCTGATGACAAATGTCAAATGGAATCCGAGTTCAATAGCCCAGATCAACCAGAGAATAGAAATTAGGGAGTGCCATCTTATTTAGAAGATAATAAATTAGTGAGTGCATCTATTCGATAAATTGATGAAGATGATCATTACAGTAGCTGAAAGATGGGAAATTTAACTTGCGTTTTCAAAGATCTCCCTGTCAACCGTGAAATCTGTGGCAGCCGAATTGTGCCAGTAAAAACTGCTTTGATACATCCAGAATTAAGAAAACGTTGATCTAAAATTGACGAGCTCCACAGCATTAGTTATGCAAGGATCCGACAAAGATTCTTCCCGACTGCATGTATTCTGTCTCGAGCATGCTGCAGAGATAGGAAAACATACTTCAACCGATAGGTGATTTCTTGACTTAGAATAAACGTAATAAGCTGTCAAAGCAGAAAATTGTATTGCCATAGAAAATTATATCATATGTATTTTCTGTTCCATGCCACCCTGTGCATGGTTTTTGGTTACTCCTTAACTTGTTTTTTGATTGCATAACTTGGTAAAATGGTTGGTGTTGATCTGATTGGACATACCATGATCGACTAAACTGCAATCACGTTTGATATCTATCAGTGACATATTTCTTTTGGGTGTAACCCATCTTTTACAAGAGATAGAGCTTCATTTTTTTAATCACGAATGTGATTCTTGACAGGATCTACTGTGGTTGTGATTAACAATGTAACATACACCCACTTGATTTTCTATGTTTTCTTTATTTTTTAGTTTTTGTATGGTATTAATGGAAGTTGATAGAATGTAATGGCCTAAGCAATGTGCAAAGACAAATTCCGATTCATCTCATTGTCTTATTTGAGCAGGTCTTGGCTTACGTATCTCAATGTCCAAGTGACATTGGTGAGATTTGTTTGTACGATTGGGTTGCTTATAACTTTAAGGCATATTATTTGTCGTCCATGCAAAAACTTCAAAGAAGATTTTAGAGTTGGCCTTATAATTACTTGTATCATTTTGCAAAGAAGATTCATGTCTGTGATGGTGAATGACCTAACTCGTGACATATATCTTTTATTCAGGTGGATAATAGAGGGGATGAGAGAGAGAGAGGGAGAGGAGCCTTGTCCACTTTTCTCATGTGGATAATATGTTGCCCTTGTCATGGAAAGGGAGAAGAAGTCTACAAGTATGAGATGAAGGGAGTCACTAAAATGTCAGTTAAAGTTTGGAATATCGATGCTAGAGCTCTCTCGAGAACAAAATGTCAACGGCCAGAGTCAAATTAATTGAAAGGATTAATTATATTAATGACGACTGGAATCTATTTACAATATTTGTTTTATTAAATTTAGTTCTTAGGCCTTTAACGAGGCTATCCTAAGTATCATCACAGGATTTTTCTTTTTGTAATCCACATTGTCAAGATTTGACTTATGGGATTAGTCTTTTTGCCCACAAGGATGAGGTTATGCACTTACCCTCTGTAAAATGGAGGCCTTCCCTTTCTTTTTTTTTTTGGCACTTTAACAAATATCTTTAGGTATAATTAATTGGTATATCTATTTATAATTTGTTAAACTAGATAGGTAGCATTAGAGGAATCAACCAAATAGTTAGAGGAATCAACCAAATGGTACATGAAAATTTAAAGAGGCATTAAGTGGTCATAATTTTTAAGAAAAATTAGTCTCTGAAGATCAGGAAGCTGCTATATTATAATTGACTGCAATATTATTTCCATAGAACACTTTTCAATGAGTTGTGGTTGAAACGATCAGTTGACTCAACGTTGCACCTTCTGAGCAATAGGATTGCAGTCGTGCGAGTTCCTAAGTTGTTACTCAAAGCTCTGATGATTCATAAAGGATATAATATATATGTATATATATATTCTCAGATTTGTTTAACTAAGGTTCATATCTCTATCTATTTATTTATGATGATCAAGTACATCAAAAAGTGTCCCAAATTGTGTTTTCAATGATGAATCCGGGGTTATAATGTGTGGGAGTAGGGAGGGGGGAGAGAGAGAGAGAGGGAGAGAGTGTGTCGGAGGGGGCGAAGTGAGACTGGGGAAAGGGAGCGTAAGAGGGGATAGCAGGAGTGGAAGGGGGAGGAGGAGGTTACCTATCCTCCACACCTTCCGCCACTCCCACATCACCCCCTCCTCCCCCCTCTCCCTCCCCTCCCCCTCCACCCCATCTCATTTCACCCCATCCCGTCGTCCGCCTCCATCCCCTCCCACCCTCCCACTTCACCCCCTCACCTTCCCCCTCCATCCCCTCCCTCCCCCACTCCCCTCTCCGCAACCTCTCCCCCATTCGTTTTTTTCAGAAAAAAGAATAAAAAAAATTATCAACTCAATCTAGCGAGTATTTTCTTATTACATTTTCCCCTATTCTGTTTGTTCCACCACCACCACCTTCTCCCCTAAGATTGAACACATCGAATTATACACATATATTCCATATGTAATTATGTATACAGAGACACATATTCACACACAGTGGTCTCTGTGGGGACTAAATATGGTATCATTAGTGGCTTAATTTTTTAAACCCAAATATACAGAGACACAAACTCAGCTAATCCTTGAAGAACAATCAATGTAGGATTTGGAAGAATAAAATAACATCACTAAGTAAAGCTTGTTAATAAAGAAATCATTGCTCCTTCCAAGTGTTACCAGAGGCAGAATCCTTGCAAATTGGACAAACATTCTTCATTTGCAACCACTGGGAGATGCAGCCAACGTGGAAATCATGCCCACAGTTCAGTGTTCCCAGTTTCTCCTTGTCTTTGTACTCTTCCTGTAAACGCAAGTCGTGCACTTAGAACTTAAAATATCAAGTTAGCAAAATTTGTTTTTACGGATTAATCAGATTTTACAGTGGTGTTTTCCAAGAATTTATTAGCAGGAGCACCCAAGTCAAACGTTTGTTACGGATATGGTCTTTACCAGGCATATTGCACACTGTCCCTCCTCCTGGATTTGATTAGAATGGTAAACCATCTCCACCATGCTTCTTAAAATGGTCTCTTCCGACAAGCCTGTGCTGACATTCCCTATCCTTTCTTCCAAAGCAAGCAATTCCTGCAGAAAATAACCAGATATCATGAAGAGAACATTAAGGGTTGATGACGAAACATTGGAAAAAACAAAGCAACTTTAAGTTACCTCATAGCTCATGTTGTCAATATCCAGTCTCATGTCCCTGTGCTGATCAAGTAAACTCACCGAGTCATAGAAGGCTGACCAATCAGTCATCAAAATACCCTGCAAGCATGTTGCATCGAACATTAGAATGATGCGCAAACAAATTGGAGCCAGTGGAGTAATGCCTTCTTCCGTTAAAAAGAAAATCAACCTCAGGTGCCAATCTATTATATGCAGTATGTTGACTGAATATTAAATGAGATCTCCGATGTGCATGTCTTGCACTGTGTCTTTCCCCATGGCCAGTGTGCCCTATGATAGACAGTGGCCTCATATATCTTGAAGGTGCAGCTGCGTCCATGCCCATCGGGACTTCGATATCAGATGCAATTGACATCCCGGTGCCTGAATAGCTTGAGATGGTGCTATAAGGGACGACCATGCGGTTGTGACCACTTTGAGCTGGCACCATTCCTTGGATGGAAGGGTGTTGAAGAGCTGGCAGAGGAACACTTCTGTTTATATTATGATTGGGATGAGAAAGATACGCATTATTACTGGCAGTGGTACCGCAGTTAGCATTGGCTCTTGCAGTGGGTCGGCTCACCTCATGATTAAAAGCACCTGCAATTTCCAGGAATAAAAAGGATGGAACATGAAGCGCACACAACCCAAGTACAAAGCTACTGTAGCCAAATTTCTTATTGTGACAAACCTGGAGTTGGAAGCTGCCCTTGGGGAACCATGGGTGCAGAAAGTTGGTTCCATTGCTGTGCCATTCTTGGATCAGAAGTATTACAGGATGAATAAAATGGGTAAGCCATAAATCTTGAGTCATAGAACCAAGCTGGGTTTAACTGAAAGTCTTCAGTTTGCCGGCTTCTTACATTCCTCTGCAGTCTTTCCCCAGTGATATTATTGTCATTTCTGTAGCCGGCTGGCATGTTTAGGGTGTCCAAAGGCCAGCATTCAGGACTTGGAGAAACCCTTGGTTCTAAACTAGTAGGGTAAGAGGGACAGTTGGAAGAACTTCCAGCTTGATAGTGTCCGGTAGTATTAGCTCTGTCAGCAATTACAGGCATAACTGGGCTTTTTCTTTTGAATGCAATCCTTCTATAGTCCATCTGAGGATAAATTGTGTTGTATCCATCGCCTCTTATAGGTTGTTCATAACAAGAAGGTTCATTTAGGGCTTGGTTTGGTGGAAAGTTTCCAAAACTTTCATGACACTCAGGATCTATGTGAGAACTATTTGATGTTCCAGGAATGGCAGCAGAAGAAATTGGAAATCCTGAACTGGAACTGGATGATGGATGGTCACCAGCTCTTGTTGGATTGTCTGCAAAAGCCATGGGGCTAATCAGACTGGTGCAGCATCATCAATGTATGAAACAATAAAAAATCACTTGACTCAAAAATCAAATACAAAATTTTAAGTTTCTAGTTCAACAACTGTAATATACACCATTCCATGGAAATAAAAGCACAAAATTTGTACAAACACCTGAGCTTAATTGAGGGTCATGTTGTGGATGATTCCAGATTCCATTATGATCCATCTCAGCATCTAGGATCTTCGTTGTGCCACTGCAGATGATGTGTGATTTCCTATGTCATATGAAGGTTAGTAAAGCATTATCTGTAAACACAGAGAGAACGAAATGTGCACACACATACACAAAATAAAACACCTTAACTAATTAGAACAACAGTTCTTAGTGCTAACAAAGATAAACATGGACAATATTCATGTATTAGAAATCAGTACTACATATCACTAAGGTGATCGTTGGACAGTGATTTAAAGATCTGAAACATTTCTCTGCAAATTCAACAGTCTATGCAATTTATCATCCAAAGATTGTATGTGAAAAAACATAGTTAAGGCATGACCTTGGAGACCCAAAATTAACAAAAAAACTCCTTAAAGGAGAGTAATGGTTCTGTTAAAATCTCAGTTCCCATGTAACAAGCAAATGACAACTCCATCTACCACCTGAGGTTCAAATTGTAGGATTGCCCAAAACCCAGATATTCATTAGCATAAATATCATCGAAATTTCCAGTAACAGATTCTCCCCCATCACTAGAGGTGGGTATTTAGTGCCTGCAGCAATTTTTCACAGCACAAGAAGCCTCCTATGTACAATATACCAGTCAAGAAAAAAAGAATTGGACCACACAATCTCTAGAAATCAACATAGTTGGCTGAATTTTAAGAATAGTATTTATAAGAGAACAGTAATGCAAGAAAATGGAACACAAAGTTTGAGTAAATACAATCATGATGCCAAAGACAATGATTTCAGAATTTCTGATCTTACTTCTGAAGAAGTTTAACAGAAAAAAATACCCCACGAGGAAGAGTCATCCAAGGAACTGTCATATGGAAAGAAACATATCCTACATATTGCTCACAATCACCTCAGACTTCACGAAAACTAAGAACAACAAAACAATCAGGTTCGCCATACTGACACCATATATAAACTTTAAGCCTTTTCCCCTGTTTACTTTTATGTAAGAGAAAAGTAAAATACTCATTAAGTGGAAGATATCAACCATATACACATAGCGAATCACAAAATATATTTTGCAAATGACTTGGTGAAATTACTTTGACACGCAAACATGTGTCTTGCTCCAACAAAGAATGACGTTTAGAAAATAACATAAGCTACCTAATTTATGGATCAAAACGGTAAATGCTCAATAGTCCAAAACACAAGACACAAGATGCAGCAAGGGATATCTGAGAAAAAATGAACAAGCAATATCTTGCATCAATTTCATTAAATTAAACTGGGAAAGCTATTAATTACATGAGAAATTCTATATATTTATGTTGGTATAGCTTTCCAATCTCACAAGAATAACCCATTTGATCATATAGTACGGATATCAAAAAGATGGACTAGCGTTCTAAAGTAATCTCACTTACAAAAACAAAACAATTTGAGGGATATATCGATAATGAGAGCTACAGCCATTTAAAAGATCCACATGGATCAAAAACCATAAAGGGGTAACAAGGAATCAACTTCATATAAACTGATCTACAGCTAAGGTTATGAGGCGATCGAGTTGAAAATATTCCAACTGCTTTGAACCTAGTGTTGTTTTTAAGGGCAAGCCTTGATTTCCTTTTCTTTCTAGATGGGGATCTCGAGTACATCCGCGATACAAGCGGCGCGAACTGAATCGTTGTTCGCAGAAGATTCGCTCGGCCAATCAATAACATAAACAATCAAGAATCCAAGAACTGAACCGTTTTCCATCAAACATTGACAGCTGGAGAAGATTTGGTACAAGTCAAAAACGTTCATTTTCCAAGAAATTGAAACCCAAGGGGAGGACCCTGAGTGATCATTGCATAACAGAACAAACAGGCAGTGGAAATATGTGAATTGATGATCGGATCGAGGGTGAAGGAAAGCAACGGAGGATACCTCGACGAACTCCCGCTGCGATTTAGGTCTCGAGGGAGGAGACGGATTGACGGCCACGGAAGCCAAAGAACGCAGACACGAAACCGCTATAATGTTCGCTTCTTCCGCGGCGTTTCGGATTATATAGGGAGGGGGAGAGAGGCGACGGGATTCGAATTCGGCTGCGAAACGACTTATTGCCCTTTTAAAAATTATTTTCTGTATTATCCTCTTTTATCTTCGGCTTGGTGCCACGTGTCGGACAGCTACCACCTCGTCGCGTGATCCGTGAGACACCGTCGGCGCCGATGGCCCAGTAGCTTTGGGTCACGGGGAAAGCGAACGATACCCCCCTCGTTTACCCCCTCTCGCTTCCGTGGGTCCCACACTAGTCGCTCTGTGAAAAGCTTATGCATGTTCACGCGTCTGACCCACACCATCGAAACACACGTTTTATTTTACGAGGTCCGCTAAAATCCCACTTGACCGGGGAAGAACCGACAGAGTGACTCGGATCAAATCAGATCAAGTGAAAGACTGCTGTATTAGATAATATTAGGTTAACAGATTCAAAAGAAACATATTATTATCATTATTATTATTATTAAATATAAATGGGTTATTTTTTACACTGTAAATAAAGACATTTAGGTTTTGAACCCGATCAATTTATAATAAATAATTTCCTAAGGTAAGAAAAGAGAGCAACAAAACAAGTCTTCCTAGTAAGACAAAATAACACACACAGCCTAAAGCACCAGAAAAAGAGAAGGAAAAGGGCCAAGAAGAACGTAAACACAACAGTTAGCATAAGCAATCCATCTCCACATGAGGAGGAATACGGCTAGAATGACTTGAGCTGACGGTCTTCGAGGCGTGAGACAGCGCACCGAACCCTCTCACAAGACACACACAGCGGTGGAGGAATGAGGAAAACGTGCCGTACCGGATTCAGGCACGCGGTGTTTGACTTGCGGTGTACAAGTTCCAAGGTGTACGTCATGGCAACGAGCAGGCAACTTTGACCAGCCAATAATTACGGGACTCGTAGAGTTGAAGGCAGCGGTTTGACGAGGTTCATGCAAGAACAAACACGTGCGGGATGGATGGATGTGGTCGTATGCTTACTGTTTGCACTGAAATCCCACACGCTTTAGCTGACCAATCTGAACTCAATAACATACTTTTCGTTTCGGATTCATCTCAAGATACATCAATCAATCAATATTATATATATA